ACGTGCTCCTCGGCCGCATGTCCCCGAGACCACCTCCTCGGCGCGGCCCGCCCGTCCGAGACGTGCTCCTCGGTCGCATGTCTCCCGAGACCACCTCCTCGGCGCGGCCAGCCCGCCCGAGACGTGCTCCTCGGCCGCATGTCCCCGAGACCACCTCCTCGGCGCGGCCCGCCCGTCCGAGACGTGCTCCTCGGCCGCATGTCCTCGAGACCACCTCCTCGGCGCGGCCAGCCCGCCCAAGACGTGCTCCTTGGCCGCATGTCCCCGAGACCTCCTCGGCGCGGTCAGCCCGCCCGAGACGTGCTCCTCGGCCATATGTTCCCGAGACATGTCCCTCGGCCACATGCTCCCGAGACCACATCCTCGGCGCGGCCACCGCGCCCGTGACACATTCCCCGATCTCATGCCGCACTAAGCACCTACGCAGCGTGGCCTACTTGCCCCGAACCTGTGCCTCAATCGTGAACCACGAAGAACACCGCCGCTTACCGATCAAAGCCACGCCTCAAATCCCCACCTACCGGTGCCGAGCCATGGCTTCCTTTGGGGGGGGGATATGATATGGCAAAAAATGGTAAACCCCACTCCCGACAACCGCCACCGCATCTCTCTAACTTAATCGTCGGAGGGGTCGGGTCAAGCCGACCCGACCTTTGTGCAGGTATCAAGCCGAGGACTCCCGTCCGGGACGCACAGCCAAGGGATCCCCACCCGGAGGAAGTCGCTGCATCGCCCCGAGCCCGAGGCCGCCCCGACCGCCCCGGTGGAAGCGCGCATCGCCCCAGGGAGATCCCCGCTATTCGGACCCCCGAACGAGCCGAGACGACCTCTCGGGTCACGGCTAAGAAAAAAAGGTGTTTACACTAACAGGTACGGTCTTTGTTGTACAAACATTTAGAGTTTGTAAAGTTTGTTTATAATTTACATTGGTTATGAAGTATTTTTTAAAATATTTATTTGTGGATCTCAAATGAGGTACTTTCTCTAACCCGTTTTCTCTTTTGTATGTCCTAAAGGACCATGAGAGATTTCGGGGAGGTTAACTTTTACGGACGGGCACATAAAAATACCGTATGATTTAGGCAAAACCAACTAACTCCATGATAGATAAATTATCATTTAGCCAATGAGTTGTTTTAACTAAGATATAACATATACAAAAATATTGAGTCAATATCTTATCTCAAAATTTTGCTACTTAAATAGACATCTAAATAAGATAACAAACACATATTGAGCTAGCTCCATTAAGATGGGGTAATAAATTCTCAAGTCAATTTTTTACTAATCCTGATACTCCTTTTGATTTCCTAACAATGGATTGATATAGTAATATTTTTTTTAAAAATATTGAGATATTCGAATTGATTAGTATATTATTATATAAAGCATATGTCTCAGATCTGATTATGAACGTCATATACGTCATTTTAGTATAATATTTTTTATTTTTTATTTTTTTAAGAGGATACATATTCTTTTTTTGTTTTTAGTATTTAAATTATTCCTTTAAATTTAAGTTTGAAAAAGAAAAAATAATTAGTGAAATTGATAAGATATATTTTAGTTATATGAAAATTTAAATACTTTTTCTTAATGAGAATGGTTTTATACATATAGGATTTTTTTTATATTGAGTTTGATTAGATTGTTCAAAACCAAGATAGTCGCACGTTTATATTGATTGCTTAAAAAGGATAAATATGTAATATTTAATTGGAAGGATACATATAATATATTAAATTTAGAGAAGAGGAGTAAGTATGATATTTCAAGACCTTCGAAAATAAAAAAATAAAATAGGAGGTTTTTTGAAATAAATTTCTCTAAAAAACCCTTTTCACTTTTTATCTAACTTTTTTTTATTTATTCTCGCAAAACAACAGTTAGTTTCTAAAAGATGAAATTATATCTAGCATTCACTCTATAAATCGTTGCCTCTACTTTGTTGCGACAATCTTCATTCATAGTTTTTGCTTCTCATCCATCACCTTCATCTTATCTTTACTTTTTCTCTTCTCTCCCTTTTTGTCATCGTGATCAATTATTGTCATCGCGTCCTGTTATCGTCGCTTTTCCTCTCATCTTCCCTTGATCTCATTTCACCTATCTTTATTATTATGATCAATCATTGCCCTCACATCGTATCCTCTTTCATATTGTCTATAACTATTAATTCTACGAGAAAGCTAATGGTGCATCGATATAATAATGAATAGGCTAGTGAGGCCAGGGGTAATTTTATTTTTTTTATTTTATTATTATGTAATAAAAACTGTTTTACGAAAATAAATCGAAAATGAAACGCTAATAAATAAAAAAACGGAAAAAACTGAGGGTTTTTTTATATATATAAAAAGGGAACTTGCCCGGTTTCATGTGAGTTGGTAAGTTTCATCTGCAAATAACCCAAAGAGGCATAAAACCCTCGGCCAAGCGGTCGCCTCGCAGCTAAAACCCTAATCGTTGTTTCTCCGGATCGTCGTCGATGGCGGAGCTCAAGAAGCTATCGGAGGCGCGCGACCTGACGCGGATCGAGCGCATCGGGGCGCACTCCCACATCCGAGGGCTCGGCCTAGACGCGGCGCTCGAGGCTCGTGCCGTGTCGGAGGGCATGGTGGGCCAGTGCGCCGCCCGCAAGGCCGCCGGCCTGATCCTCAACCTCATCAAGGAAGGCAAGATCGCTGGCCGAGCCATCCTTCTCGCCGGTCAGCCCGGCACCGGGAAGACCGCCGTCGCCATGGGGCTCGCTAAGTCCCTCGGCGCCGAGACCCCCTTCGCCGCCGTCTCTGCTTCCGAGATCTTCTCCCTCGAGATGTCCAAGACCGAGGCCCTCACCCAGGCATTCCGCAAGGCCATTGGCGTACGCATTAAGGAGGAGGCCGAGATCATCGAGGGCGAGGTCGTCGAGATCTCCATCGACCGACCTGCCGCCGGCGCTGGGGCGTCTGCTGGCCAGTCCTCTTCAAAGACCGGAAAATTGACCCTGAAGACTACTGATATGGAGACGGTCTACGAGCTAGGAGGGAAGATGATAGAGGCTCTGGGTAGGGAGAAGGTTCAGAGTGGGGACGTGATATCACTGGATAGGGCATCTGGAAAGGTCACGAAGCTTGGTCGATCAATCACACGCTCGAGGGACTATGATGCCACTGGCCCAAGCACAAAGTTTGTAAGGTGCCCGGAAGGAGAGCTGCAAAAGAGGAAGGAGGTTGTGCATTGTGTCACCCTCCATGAGATCGATGTAATCAATAGCAGGTATAGGATTGCCCTCTCTGTCCATATTTTAGTTTGTAATATGCTTCCGTTTTTTCCATGAGTGCTGCCATTATTGAATTCCTGGAGAATGCCTTTTCTGAACTTTCTACACTTCATGTTTTGCCTTTTTCCTTTGTGAAGAAAGATTTTCACCATGGGTCTCAAATAAAGATGACATATGAACTGAGTTCCAGCTAAGGTGTTTGTGTGTTTTTTATTTTCTTATAGGAATTTACCTTAATTTACTTTTATATTGTTAGTGATATAAAAAGCTTGTTCTTTTTCTCACTAGAATTTGATGTTTACTGAGAACAATGGGCCTACTAGGACCATTGTAAAATTAAAAAAAGATTACCAAATTAGATAGTCCACTCAGAGCTTGAGATATGAAAGAAATAATGCAAGTTTAATGGGGAGGTTCCTTCTGCAGGTTGATACTAGAGCTAGAAATTGTTCCAGTGTTGAAGTGCAATTTGTAATTTTAGCTTCACTTTATAAGAAATCAAATTTAGTCATAGTGTTATTCTTGACGATGGTATGTTTGGGTCATTTGAACTGATATTCTTTTATTCTTAACTTCTGCTTCTTCCATATCTAGTATTTGTACTATTTAATATTTAATTGTTGAAAGGTGTGAAGCTTACTGTTAAGTGCATGTTCATAAGTTCAGATTAAATGATCTGATTAGAACTACAGTGAGCTAGAATCTGGAACTTTTCATCTAAAGTTCAGATGCAGAGGTATATGACAAATTGGCGTGGTTCATGTTGTGAGGGGAGTGCATTTAGTTGGTTCGCTATTTTGTGTCATGCTGCATGCGAAGCCACTTTATTTTGTCACTTACTGCAGGAGCTAATATATCTCACTTTTGTTGAGTTGTTAGCTATATGTTTAATGCTGCAAAAAAGGGCAGTAGGTAACCTAAAAGCTGTGAACTTGATTAATATGATTTTTTGTTCAATTGCTTGTTTCAAGGTTTTCTTAAATGTACTGTGAAGTAGGAATGCCTAACTTGTACTTTATTCTTATTTAGTTATTTTTATCTATAAAACTGTGAATGTCATTTCTTACATTCGGCCCCAACATCAGTAATTCAGATAAAATACCACCATTGTTCAAAATGCATAATACCATTAATCAAGGAACATAAACCATTGCACTGTCCCAGAGGTTGTCGCAGCTTCAATAATTATTTAGAATTAATGAGATGAAAATAGTAGATATTTTTATTTCCTTTCGAGTATGATGCATAAAATATTCAGTGAAGAGTCTTTGTGCAAATCAGTGTCCACTGGATGCCAATTAGTGAGATTATACACATTTATGTCTAAACTCAAGAAAAAGATTGAGAAAAAGTGTGTGAGTGTGAGTACGGTGAGAGAGGAGGTAGGGAGTCGGTCAGAGGGACTTATATAAGCCCTAAAGAGATCCCAACTGTCAATTTGACCTTTGAGGGCTGGTGTCGGTCGAAATCTGACTATTATCAATTTGTACCGGTCGGTAACAGTCGAATTTGCTCAGTATGTCTTATATCAGGCTGAACCACTAGTCGGACTGGTAAATACTGGTGATTTCCATGCCGCCTGAGATTTCATTCCTGTGTGAATACTAACTTTGCCTATTATTGTTTTTTAGTGTAGTTATCATGGTGCTATATCTATTAATTGCAATGTTGTAGGAGTATTTACTTAAAATAAAGATGTTGCATCACTTATTTTGTTTAATACCGTCATACTTTGCCTTGATCACTTTACAAACGAAAATTTTTTTGGTGGTAGAGCATTTCAACATTTGATCAATTGCTTAATAGGTTAATGATGTCAAATAATGGTGCGCCTTTAGAGTATTTGTAGTTCAAGAATTAAGGATTCACTACTATGATCATTTTCAAATTAACACAATGAGTCAAATATAAATGGCAAAAATATGCATATTTTTAGTAAATGAAGTCGAAGTACTTTGATGTGAAAGTGCCAATGGTGTCATTATGATATTATCTGAGACCAGTTGGAAAGCAGCATATTTATGCAACTCATTGGACAGTACAGAAAGTTACATACATTGGTCTAGATGCTTTGCTGTACATAGAAGCTTGATATAAGCATAATGATAGTTGGGAAGTGGTTGCTGATGGTTAATATTCTATATAGTCTGTCAATGTAACTTGGCCCTTGTCAGTGACACATACAAAATCAGACATAAACATGACCATTGACACGTATGCAGATGCACACACGAAAGTATGCAGACATGCATGCACACGTGCATATATGTATATGTATGAACACACGAGTGGTATAGTTTACTTGAGGTAATCAATGCTGCTGGATAACTTTAGCATCAAACTCGGTGCTTAATTCATGTGATGGATGTGTTAAACTCTTAAATCCACAAGCAGATGCTATATCTCACGTGTCCAGGATATGCTATCAGTATCCTCTTGTTCAGGTTAGTCACATGGAACTATCTGAGGAACATCCACCCTATAGGTGTCAAGACAATTTAAAGAAGGGAAAGGGCAATAGGGACCCAGCAACAGAACTTTCATAATACACAACAAAAGGCTCCTTTCTTGAGCATAGGTCTGTCATTATGAGCTTACTTGGCATGATGTCCAAATAAGTTAGTAACTTGTTAACCTTGTGCAACTTAAACCATCTCATGTATTTGGTATCAGGTCTCTCCTCTTGTGCATTTGGTAAGTCTGCCTTCTTGCACATATAGTATTATGATGGAACTGGAGTTCTCTACACTCTTAACAATTTCTGGGAGTATAAAACATTTGGATCCTAATGAGCTTGAGCAGATTATAAATATGCTAGTGGTTTTTTTTTTTTAAACCTATTGTATCATGTGTTCTATTTGTACATTCTTAGCAATACTTGTGAAAGGTCTCTCAGATTGTTTAGTGGATTAGTATGAATTAGGCTTGGACTTCCAGCCAGTCTTACATCCAACTCTGATCGCAATATTATCTAGATTTTCTTCTTCTGCTTATTCTTAAGCATTCTCTTTATAACATGCTATGGCATGAACTTCAGAACGCAGGGTTTTCTTGCACTTTTCACTGGCGACACTGGTGAAATCCGATCTGAAGTGAGAGAACAGATTGATTCGAAGGTTTCAGAGTGGAAAGAGGAAGGAAAGGCTGAAATCATACCTGGTGTCCTGTTCATCGACGAGGTTCATATGCTGGACATTGAGTGCTTTTCCTTTCTCAACCGAGCATTGGAGAATGAGATGGCTCCAATACTGGTCATTGCAACAAATCGCGGGATCACTACAATCCGTGGAACCAACTACCGATCACCTCATGGAATTCCTGCCGATTTCTTAGATCGCCTCCTCATCGTAACTACTCAGCCATATACAGAGGAAGAAATTGGCAAGATTATTGAAATCAGGTGTGAAGAAGAAGAGGTTGAGATGTCCAAGGACGCAAAGCTCCTGCTAACAAAGATTGGGGTCGAGACATCCCTGAGATATGCCATCCACCTAATCACATCGGCTGCACTGGTTTCTCTGAAGCGCAAGGGAAAGATGGTTGAGATGGATGACATAAGCAGAGTTTACAGGTTGTTTCTTGATGTGAAGAGATCCACGCAGTATCTTATGGAATATCAGAACCAGTACATGTTTAATGAAGTGCCCAGTGTGGGTGAAGAAGTTGAATCTATGCAGTCTTGATTTGTCTTGGGTCGAAATGGACTTTTGCCTTCTTGTATTACTGGCTTGTATTAGAAATGGACAGGAGCTGATGCCCATTTATATCCTTTGCATTGCATTTAACTTAACTCTTGTATTTTTCTTTAGCAGCTTTTGGTTATCGAAAAATAGAGGTTTCCTTGTTTATTTAATTCACTGATTTGTAAGTTAATTAAAGCTGGTGCATCTTCTTTCATTAATCTTGCATCAGCTCAACAGATTAAACATTATGAAATCAGACATGCACATTGTGGCAGTTTAATGTTTTCTACACTTCTCAACGTCCTTTGAGATTATTGTCCCAAGTAGGTTGGTAGTTTTTGAGTTAATTACATATTATTTCATCTCGATTCTTTATAGTTATAAGTGAAACTTCTAGATTTATTTATTTTGATAACGTCAATTTTATCAATGAAAATATAGAAATAAAAAGTGAAAAAATAAATTTAATATTTTAATGATGGCGGATGATGGCGTTGTTGGTGTCGACATCGATGTAGTTGTCGAGCGGTCTTTTGTCATTCGGCACTTCGTCATCACGAAATCAAATGTCATTGTCGAAACTATCACGAAGATCCGTCACCTATTGAAGTAAGGATCTAGAGATCCACCAAGGCTCGTTGATGATGCTTAGGGTGCACATGAGTGCCTCACGAGTGAAGAGAGGTTGGGGAGGGCAGCAACGACATTCTCCTAGGCCGTAGATGAATGGTGGTGGTAGTGGTTGAGGAGGCGAGCAATAAGGAGGGGCACAACGCTAATGAGGGGGGCGTGCATCTTTCGGTCTTGCTTTAATAGATGACAAATCTTCGCGATGGCTTTGATAGTGGACTTCGATTCTATGGTGATGGAGCATCGACGGAGATGCAGAGTGGCAAAAGTATCGCTAGGCAATTGTATCGGCGTTGATGCTAGCGACATCGTCCTCCACTACCACCGATGCTATTTGTTACCATTAAAATGTTAAGTTAACATTTTTAACTTTTATTTTCGTATTTTCATTGAGAAAACTGATGTCGTTAGGGTAAATAAATATAGATGTTTCACTTTTGTCATTATGACGATGCCAATGTACCCTATTAAAGTATAAAGATCGAGATTCTAAAGGTTGCCAACTACAAGAAGTAATATATAATTAGCTTGTAATTTTTTTTGTTTAGATGTTGCAAATCATAGCGATATAATGCTTAACGATTGACAAACTATTATTATTATTATTATTATTATTATTATTATTATTATTATTATTATTATTATTATTTTCATTAGCATCGTCATTATAATTACCATTGCCAGTAAGATTTTTTTTATGATTATCAGTATTATTATTGCTATCGTTCTGATTATGATCGCCATTATCAATATTATTATCATTATCATTATGATTTTCAACACTATTCCTGCCACCATTACATTATGATTAGGAACATTATCATTGTGCCTACGACATTACGACTATTACAATTACAATTGCTAATTTCACTATCATTACTATTGGATTACTATTATGATTATCATTTTTATTATCAATTCCATTATTATTATGATCATTACCATTACCCTATTTTCATTTATCATGATCTTTACCATGTATGCTCGGAGATTTAAAGCTTTTCCTTCACCTCTGACATCGAGCCTCATATCGACTGGACTTGCGCACACAATCTTGAGCAAGAGATGTATCTTGAGGGAATTATTCTGAAGGAATATCCTACTCGCTCTTAGATAGATATGATCTTAAAGATATAACTAATTTTGATGCTAATAATCTATATGCATACATCACTATACATTAGAAATTACCCAAAAATAATTCATGTTGACAGAAGAAATCCAGTTTCACATAAGCCCATCTCTTCAAATTATAGCAGGTTTTGCATGGGTTTATAACCCCATAGTCATTTTATCCATGAAACTATGACCTTGGAAATTTTCAAACTCAGCCCAAAGGGAACATCCTTTGCCTTTTAATCACATCAAATGATGAAAAACCAAATCAAATAATAATAAAAAAATGCTCCTTTTAGTTCATGTATGCTGCCTCCAAAGAGGATGAACACTTGACAGCCAATAAAATGAGAACATATGAGAAATTATTAGGAGAAAATTACATTTCTTAACTTCGTGGGAATAGTACATAGCAGCAAGACAACATACCTAACCATGGCCTGCCACCTCCGTGGCTTTGACCGGAGAACATATTTGTCAACTCCGTTTATCCATATATATACATTAATAAGAGCCACCATTTGAATACATGGCGCATAGTCTATGCGACATCCACATGCTGATTTCTGGTCTCGTATCACACGCTGCGGCCCACTTTCTCAGCTTGTAGATCGACTGGTCTGATTCCGTTCCGCAAAAGCAAGAGCTATCCTCCGTCATTACAAACTCGATAAATACAACAATGGCACGAGGACCAAATGGGCAAAAGACTTGCCTGACCCAGAAGCTGCACATAAACGAAAATTACGTTGACATGTTATATGTAACAGAAATAGCATGGGCAACAACTTAGATTATCGGTTTTGGGTAACAAAAGCATTGGCATAACTGGTGATAATATGATGAATAGGAAAACAGTGCTACAAAATAGAACCAACCTATAAGATAATGTGATTAATTAAACAAATACATGCTAGACGACTAGACACTTCTTTGAAAGAAGGTATCCATAGACACCGTTTCAAGCTTATTAAGACAGTCAACAGATGCTAAAAGCGACATCAAAGCATGTGCAATGTGGGGTTAAATCTGTCAGGGTATGTAGAAGGTGAAACCCAATGCAAACAAATGGGAGGATTTCTAAAGTGGCAATGGTTACTCGACGAGAATATAAACCTTAGCCTCGACTTGCAAAACCATATGCACCATGTCATGTAACATACTGACCCACAAGGCCAACATATTGATAAATGAACTGACCATTCCCTGCAATATTTAGTACCATAACTACAGGAGAAGACAACTAACATACTTTGTTTATTTCCATCATCCACTTAATCACATGTTTTTGTCAGGGCCAAACTAATAAATCCATTCGTTAAGTATGAGACCATCTGCAGTCATGAACAAAAGAAGTGGTGCATGCATGAAACATGAAAGTGCACGGCACCATTTGATTCAAGAATACAATATATACAGAGATCAATTGACATGTGTCTATTCTAAAAGATTGAATTGGAATCAGTTAAACTTCAGGCCATATCAGGCCCCAGGTTTTTGACTGATAAAAACAAATGTATGGACAGATATTCAATTTATGCATGACAGATGAATTATGCAATGAATGAGAAGAAATGATAAAGACCATGAAGGCTAGACATAACAATACATGATGCCTGTATGAGTGAATACATGGAAGCTTAAGATAAATACAAATAACACTTGATGCCACCATCATAATGTAAAGATACGTTATGCTTCTTAATTTGTGATATGACTCTGGTTTAATAAAGTTGATCATCAAAGTGTACATAAAAATGAAAACAAAATATAATAAACCGGACTCAGAAACAATATTACTTTCATATACTCTGTCCATTTTCCAATTATAGCTTGGGATCACATCATGAAAATATTTTCAGAATGATATTGCAACAAAAACTTAGTACCACATGTTCTTGACCTACTTCCAATCATCTAGTATTTATTCAAAATATGACAAAGTATTTCAAGTTGTCTAGAGACGAGATCTTGATGTCTGATATTTTCTCGTTAGCAAATTTTTTAGTTAGTTATTTAAATTATGTTAAAAGTTACTGTTAAAATTCAATATTAAGCTAACATGATCCATATTTGTGGGACTCACATGAATATGATGCAGGTGAAATTGATGGCGTACGATCTGGAGGCTCAGTATCTTTTACACTCTTACTAGGAGGTGGCACATGCATAAAAGAAACAGCAGGCGAAGGAGATGCTGAAATCCTGCTTGGAGCTGGAACAGGCGGATTTTCATGTGCACGAGGAGCAAGTAAATGATTTTGAGCACTCATTGGAGCACCCACAGGCCTGTAAGAACACCCCAGAACAGCTGCTGGTGCAGCAGAATGCTTTGGAGCATCAACAGGCACAGCAGCTGGAGCTGAATAACCCTTGCCTTTTGGTTTGCTTGAAAATCCACATCCACAACCAGAAGGTGAAATTTCATAACCATGTCGTGGAGCAGTATCAGGAGGAGCAGGACCAGGTGCATTATCCACAGGAAAATGGTGCTTATGGTGATGATGATGGTGGTGCAGATGATGGTTTGGTTGAGGAGATGGATGTGGTGAACTGGTATTGCTTCCGTTATTTGAGGAATGCTGAAGAAAAGAGGACAAACGTATTTGCTTTACTCTACCAAATACTGTGTGATTTAGTCCAAGATTTCCAACAGAAGAGTTCTGGATTGTGTGAGCTAACTCCTTCCACCGTGGAAGGGAGGGCCGCCGATTCCCAACTGCAAGTACAATTGATGTTTGAACAATTGTTGGAGGAGAAACTGTTGTGCCTTCCAAGTTTATCAATCGAACATATAGATTCTGCAACACGAAAAGAGAAAATTAGTATCAGAAAAGTAATAGTTTATGAAGCAAGTAATATTTCCTTTAATTTTACCCCTGGAACCACCACATTATTCCATGAAGGCTAGACACGGTGTGGAACCAGCGCCACATATTACGTGTTGGCAAACACATTACACAGGACGGTCATATGCACAGCTCCACTAACTTGACGTGAAGCCTCTTTCTTCATCGCATGGTACAACAATCCTTGCCTAACATGTCATACTAGATTTTCTAAAATTACTAGCAGGACCTCATCTTGTCCAAACCATGGTTATTAGAGATAAAACAATCCTATAAAATCACCTGGGGACTAGTTATTGTACTGGTTAAACAATAAGCACAATTACTGTTTAGAACTAGAGCCAAGCTTATTAAGACAAATTTTTAATCAGAATCTAGGATATTTGATTCTTCATTGTCATGCAAGCTACAGGACTTTTAAAATCCTCAGAAGGAAGCTGTCATGGTTCCAATAATTTACTCAAGATAACAGACATCATGCAACAAACAACAGGTAAACCAAAAGAAAAGGACAAAAGTTGAAAAAGAAACAAATCTTTCAAATGAAAGAAAGCCAAGAATGGAACATTGTGGTCAAACCTCATTCCAATTTAGTAGTAGCCCAGCCTTCATCTGGTCCTTCAGTTCATTGACTTTATCTTGGACTTGATAGATAGGAAAGTTTAAAGTGAAATTGAAAAGCATTTGCACATTTTGCAAAAGAAAAACTCTTTGGAGAGGTATTATGGTGATCCCTCCAGGAAACTTGAGCACCTCAAAGAACGACGAGTTCCCAAACAGTGTTGTAGTCAAGTGAAGAGTTGACTGCTGAATGACCAAGGACATGAAGGAAGACCTGAGAATGCTTAGCCCAGTTGATGACAAAGTTGAGTTCTTTCGATAAGGCCAAACTCCAAAAACCACATTTGTCCAATTTGATCCATCCAAAGGTTCCAGATAAATTACAGCTATCTGTTTAAATAGAAGCAATAGAGACAAGCACATCTATATTAATATAAACATAAAAACACATGGTAGAGTAAAAAGAAGTGTACCGAGGAATCAGGAACACCGATTTCTTCAAAGATGTCAAGTTGCAGTTTTCCGATATTGGAATTTAGTAAACCAACAGGTTTTTGCAGTTTAAAACTCGCAACAACATCAGCTGGAATAAATTAGTTAGTTAGAAAATAAATCGCCAATTGAAAAACAATGAAAGAAATTAATACGGCAAAAAATATACTGCTTTTATCTCCTAACTTTGACAAACAGATCTGACTATTGATCATCGTAAGATGTTTAAAACCAATCATGACTAGAAGCATGTTGCCATATGTGGAAATGACAAAGAATAATCCATGTCGCTTTGTTGCGCTAAAGCAAAGAATTCATGAACTAGAAAGACTAGTATCTTGTTGAGTTCAAGCAATGAAGGCTTCGAGATCTGTATAACTCAACCACTTCATATCAAGCATCCATGAATTCTCCTAAGATAATCGTTTTTAACTAAATAGGATTAATATTGAATATATGAAACATATAAAGAGAAACTAAGAGGTGCAGATAAGGTGAATAAACAAAAAGTATCCAAGCAAAAAATTTTAGGTATCTTAGATCTATTATATAACAGGAATCATAGAATAATAGCAAGATGATTGAAGTGGTTGAGCAGAAGATTTGTGCAATTATCATGTGATGCTAGTCATGCTTTATGAATCAAATACTGAGTAGTGTAGAAACATGTACTATAGCAGAGAAGAAAACATTGCAATAGATGTGTGAGATTATCAGAAGAAAAAGAAGTATTTTCATTTCCGACAAATTATGTTTATCCCTACAAGAGTAGAAAATGAGTCAAGGCCGTTTTTTATGGTAGATTGCTTGTTCAAAGGGGATCTCCAGATGTCCTAGTCCAGGTATAAGAAACTGATCATCCTAGTTCATGGTTGGACCAGACATGAACTGGTATGCAGACCACTGGTTCTTGCTCATTTTTGTTTAATGTAGGGGTCATCCTACCAGTATGGTTACCTTACTGGATATACCGTCTAATTTTAATTGTTGAAATGGAGGAACAGTAAGCCTACCATCCGATACAGTTGTCCTTTTTTTTTTTTGTTACAACTTCTTATAGCTGTCAGTTTTTTTTTTATAAAATTATTTCTCTCCTCACACACTCTCGGCCCCTTTCTTTCGCTTTTTAGTATAATCTCTCTGTACCCTCTGCCTCTTGCTCATCCTCTCTCCTGCAACCTCATCATTGTTGCCTCCTTCTAAGGGACATAACCTCCTACCAGTCTGTCTATTCCTCTGCCACCTCCACCTCATCTTCATATTCTTCTTTCACCTTCTCTACTTGCTCCGCCTTCTCCTCCATTTCCTTCCCTATCTCTTTCTCTCTGGTCCTTAATGATACTAACCCATACTGGGTGTTGATACATCAATCTATCCTGTTACTGTATCAATCCAGTTGCCAACTTGCATCGGCACTGGACCGATTTTAAACCATTGTCTGATCAAATGAGGTGAGTCAACTACGATTAATGATGCTAGGAGAGGTATAAGAAGACATAAGAAAATTTAGTTATGAACAATAATTAGAATTAAATTGTTCTTCATTTAATTACTAGCAAGAATAAAAAGATATCCTAGTAGTCAACCCCAAAAGCTCGAGACATCATAGCTTCTTGTTTTTGCTCCTTTTTTTTTTAATGTTGATGTTGTTCCATGTCATTGCTCTCGATAAACATTCAATTAAAGGAGTACAGATCAATTAATAGTGAAAAAAATAAAGTTCAAACTGATTACAAAATTAGTAGCATGCTATTGTTTAGAAAATACAAGAAAAGCACTGAGATAACTGCAGTAACTAGTATATTTTAGAGGTTAGCTCTAACATTAGATTACATAAGGTACTAGAATATAGAGACATGCCCATTCATACAGTTAAATGACATGTGTGCACCTGTAAAAGTAAGCAATATGGATCAAGTAAAATGGGCTGCTAATACTCCTCTTCCTCTATATATGAAAAACTTAAAACCAATGACAAATCTTGCATGCTATACAATTGGCATATTTTACATCTAAGATGTCCATTGCAGAATACATCCAAATACAGAACATATATTTGAACAATTCTGTAACTTCTTAATTAAGCCTACCATCCATTTATAGAAACCTAATATAGACCTTTAGTGTCATCAGTTGTAGAAACAGACACATACTTGGGCATAAGAATAAATCTTGAGGATATCGAAGATGGAACAGGACCATCCAAGAACTGAATGCAACCAATCAACCATGAACTCCATTGAACATGTATCTAATACAAGAAACAGCAGGAGTCCAGCCAAGCTAACATGTGATATGGAACAATATAGAGTTTCAGCATAAAGAGTTGCTGATAACATGTTCTTGAAACTTAATTAACCAACTTCGTCAATATCGACATTTATGAATTCAATTGTGCATGTATCTAATACAAGAAACAGCAGCTGTTGTGCGAAATTAACTTGCGACATGGAACAAAACAGAGTTTCAGCATAAAGAGTTGCTGATAACATGTTCTTAAAGCTTTATTAACCAACTCCATTAATATCGACATTTATTTTATCTGATACAAAATCACAGGAAAACATCTACCATGTAATTTAATCGAGATAAGACATACCAGCATAATTAAAATGACAGCCCCCCCATGAAGGAATTTTCAATCAGTAAATCTAACAGATGCAAGAACACATTAAGGGAATGGCGGAATGGACGCATCGATTGAAACGCAACAACAAGTGAATATTATCAACGAGAAAAAGAAAAAATCAAACCAAGATCGGCCAATGTAGCCGACGGCGAAATGGCTGGAGACAACAGCCCAAGATCCAACCATCCCACCACCTCACCTGAGAACCGCGGGTCCGGATCTGGACGGCCAGCGCCCTCGTACCGCCTCACGAACGGCGGCAACCAGAACACGACCAACAGCAGAATCGCAACGGCGAGAACCAGCGTGGTGACGCAGCGAGGCCGCGCTATCCGCCCGATCGAGCGGCAGCGCGGGCAACCGTCGCAGGCATTACCATCGTGACCCTCCGGCGGGAAAATCTGCGGCGCAGGCGCCGGATGTTCGTCCTGGGATTTCCCCATCGCGGCCCCACTAGATCTCCTCAGTCCGCATCTCCTCCTCCGCGCGCTTCCTCCAACACGCCCATTGCCGCGAAGAAAGACGAGAATTCGAGGACGAGACCAAGATTAGGTCTCTCCGCTTAGGGTTAGAAGAAGAAGAGAGGAACGAAGAGGCGCGGAGACGAGGCGGCGAGGAGAGAGGGAAGGGAGGGAGAGTTAAGCTGGAGCTTAGTGGTGGGCAGCACTGTGTCTATTGCTTTTTAACTTCTCTTTGTGTATTGAGATTTAAAAATGTAAAAAGGATTGTTATTTTTAACATTTACGCCCTTATAATAATAACATTTACATAAAATTAAAAACAATATAAGAATTTCAAAATAATTAAAAAGAAGAGAACACATAACTGTGAAAATTAAAAGAAAGGGTATAAGAAACATTAAGAATGTTAGAAGGGATATTAGTGCAAATAATCACTAACAGGTGAGAAGGTAGTACGTACATCACAGAGGCGGACAAATTACGACGGCGCCATTCTCCTGTGCGAGGCGTCGGTGGATGGAGTTGGTGGGTCCCGACATCATTGACATGTCGATGGGTACAGAAATGACATAACTACCGGAACCCATTATAATTAATAATTTGTCGATTATTATTATTAGTTGTTGTTCTAATTTATATCAAATTCATTATTATTTTTTTAAAAAAATAATATTTAAAATTAGAAATTAGTAGTTTAGATTTTCTAAAGTATTATGTAAAAAGTCAATGCAAATTCAATGTGCAGTTCTTCCCCTTGTGGTCCAGTGAGTGAAAAAGAGGACTGGTTATACTTTTCTTGAACTGTTTATTCGGCCATCGGAACCTTCTTCAGTGTGATGGTTGCCGCGGGGATGATTAGATAGGGAAATGAGTTGTTTTGATTTTGACCAAATGTTGACTGGGATTGTCGGGAAAAAAACAAATATACTTGTAGTCAGCAAACAAAATTGAGTCCAATGCAGGTAAAAATTACAAGTGCTTTAAGACCCCCACGTTGCATGATGATGTCCACAGGATAATAATTATCTGCATTTATAGTGGCAATTTATACCGGCTGCAATTATTTGCTCACCGCATGTGCAATAATAAGGGGTGTCGCGGTCAGGTTACTCTCCATCGTTGAAATGATATTAATATATTTTTCTTATATGTAAAAAGTTTATAGGATGAGATTTCAATCTCAAATGACTGTAGGACACTGTCACATTGTCTGAAATTGAATGAGGTCTCTGTATCCAGTTTACTTTATAGGCTAAGTGTAGCATTTCGTATCTAAATCGTGAGAACAGCATTTGGGTCATTGCAGTGAGAGCCCAAATACGAGATGTTACACCAACAAATTTTACAAGCCAACATTGTATTAATATACAGTCTAACAGCCAGATTTCTTATCTATATTATTGAAGCATACTTTCTAAACTACAATTATAATTAAATATAGAAAGTCGCATAAAATCCTTGCAATTGACATATTTAATATACAATCCGGATATAGGAAACTGATAAGCTTCAGCTAAGTCTGCATATACCTTTGCTGCAATGCTAAGGTTTTGAGCCTCACGATGCTATGGAACATGTAAAGTACTTACCATTCCTCGAGTATTTTAATTTTGTTGAACCCTTATCATACTTTCCTTTCTTCAAATGGAATGACAAGCCTAGGTATTAAAGTGATGTCGATCCTCTCGTTGTGGAGTTCAGTCTCTCTTGTTTATGGTAATTACATCGTTTTTTTTTATTTTCTTTGATAAGTGATTACATATTATCATAACACATGATGAGGATGATGATAATGATATATAATAATAATAAAATGATAAATCCTAATTAATTTGAGATCAAGTATATGAATCTTTTACTATCATTGAAATCTATAAAAAAAATTATAAATTTAATTAAGCTCAAAATACCTAAATTTTTATTTATAATTTCTATTAAGATATTTTTAATAAAATACCATAATACTATCTATAAAGATAATATTGGCAACAATTATAACTAAAGATAATAACAATTATGACAATAAACTAAATTAAGTAAAGATAAACTTGCAAATTTTAGATTTTTTTTTCAAAATTACAACAAACCTAACATAAAAATTTTCCTGCAAATAAATATGCACAAATATAATGTGGCACTTATCATGCACTTGGCATAATTATTGATCAAAAGGGATGACAAGCATATGAATAGGCAAAAAAAATTGTGCAGTGCAACAAGCTACACAAACCTCTTCCATGTTAATCTCTATCTTGCATATGAACAATACCATTGATTATTAGAACTAATAACCAATTACATGTTGGATATAGTTAGTCTCTGGATTACTTGTGCAAACTGAACACAAAACAATCCGGTACACACACCAATCAAGTATAATAATGGATCTTCAATGAGCAACTAGAAAATATACTCTGGTTCTTCAAGGATGAAAGGTGCAACCTTCGCATCAAAGTGTCTTCCTTCAGGCTTGCTTATCCTAAAGCCAAAAGAGATGGTAAGCTTTGAAAAGAAAATAGGAAATGCTAACGACAACACAGAATAATCTCAGTCGAACATTAAAAACTGACAGAAAGATGCGTGATAATTTGGAAATACCTGCCAGGAACAAATGTAAAGGAGCCCTCTATAGATCCAGGAGCACCTGACAAAGGCGTGCAACTTTGATAAACAAATTCTTCCTTACCTGGAATCAGTAGAGGAAACTGCAAAGGCCAAAAGTACACGATCAGAGATGAGTAGTTGTTTGATCTAATGCATGGAAATTATACGATGCAAATTCTCAAACCCTGGAAGTTATCTTTGTCCCATTTCAACTGCATCTGTAACAATAGAAACAATACCTTTCCTATCACAGCTTCTCCTCCCACATCGGAAACAATGATATCCCTGGAACGGATAATCCAGTGACGTGAACAAAGCTGACATGACGAGTAATATGTGCCATCCAGTAAGCATCCCTCGGGCAGGAGAGACATGCGAATTGAGTAAGAATAATAATAGTCCCCTCCATTGCCTTCAGAAGCTTCCGGCACAAAAATAGCAGAGGAACGAACCTGAAGATAACAAAGCCAGCAAAATAAGGTTCTGGCAGCTTGGAAACAACTTCAAAAGAAAATGGAAAATCTATCATAATAAAAGTTCCATCATGAAAAGGACATAATAGCTCATAAGGCACATCCACAGGAAGTAATAAACATTTGGAATGCAAATGACAAATGGTTGGAGTGATTTAATTTTCACCTTCCTTTGGGAATGATACAGCCTTGATTATATCATTGTGCAAAGGTCCACAGACTGGTGATTTTCCATAATGACATTCAGATATTTATCAACCTTGGTTAAGATACATTACTAGAAATGGTAATGTCATTTGTAAGTTGGAGAAAGCACTCAAAACGATCACAAAGAGAAAAGAGATTCCAAGAGTCAAATATGGTATTCTTTGTTTGGTAACATGAGGTTTCAAAATAAAACTGCTCCAATTATTTTACAGAAGAGAATGGTTTATCAAGTTAACCAATCCAACCACACCCGTTCACTCTTTGCACTGATTAAGCATGCAAGATTCTACCTCAAATACTAGTGCTTGTTTCTTCTCTCTACTCTCCAAACTTAACTAAGCACATTGAAAATCTAATTCACATATTATGAGCAGAATAATTTCAACTTATGAGTATTTAACATGTAGCTTAAAGGATGATAACTGTGATGCAAGCAATTTTATTTTTTTAGTGTGGCAAACATGACTTTCATCTATCATAGAAAACAAACTATAATGCAAAAATTAGTTCTCCATACCTGAACACCATTAGTTACTGCAACAGAACAATAAGGAGGTGTTTCTGGAAATATGCAAATACTCCGACAATCTTTTAGTTCACGAGTCTTGATCATACCACTTTGTAAACGTCTACAATGTTCTTCTAACCACAACAAAAGCGCATCTTGTGGCATATCATGACCGATATCAACTGCTGGCCTTATCAATGACTGAGGGACACATGGCATCATTTCCCCATCCTCCCTCAAATTCCTTGTGCCAACATAAAGTTGGCCATTGGTGCAATTTAGGAAAAAGAACTTCTCCGTGTAGTAGGAAGCTGCCACAACAATAGACTTGGATCTAGTCAGAAAACCTAGCTGTCTAGCAATTCTTTTGGTTTCTGTCACAACCAGCCTTAAAGGCAGCAAGTGCACATTTACAATATAATCATAAAATTCATAGCCACCTATAACTCCCAAGGGAGCCAGAAGTTTGTTTTCAACGAGGTCTGGAGTCAATGTCTGCTGACCATCACACAGCCTATACAGAACCTTGGTTGGAATAGGTAACTGGACTCCTAGTATTTTCTCAGCCGATTTTATTTCAGCTTCAGAAGCACCCTTCCTCAACGTGTCATTGACTTCAGGAAGATTAACAGCCATCCAACTCTTAATTGAACTCCAACATTCTTTTGCTCTCCTTACCAAAGGAAATGGGTACATACCAAAAGATTCAAACCATCTTCTGTACGCCTCCTGCATAATGGAATGATATTTAGTCAAATTTCACATCCATTTGGTAGGCAATGGAAAGTTGAAAAAAGAAACCTATCCAGGATTACATATAAAAGAGGAAATAAAGGAGGATATTAACTAGGCCCTCTCAGTTTTAAGTGCAACCAGACTTTGGTTTGTTTGTTCATCGTTTACCATTCTTTTATCCTCAGGTCACCACACCACAAGAAAAGGTTGACCAAATGGTCAAAGACGTTGGAGATCCCAGAAACAATTAAATCATATGACTGGAAAACTTGGATATATGAAGTATAATTAGTCTACCATATATTATTCAAGGTCAAATTGCATCAATCGTGGTAGGTAGGCCTTCTTACTATGACAACAACTTCTCTTACTGCAGATCATCTCATGATGCAAATACATGAACATCCTAAAGCACTACGGATGTCTGTAAGCAAAACCTAAGATTTTTATTTTACCTCCTCTTGAAATTAAGCGTACTAGCTCACTGATCATCTAATTAGAATTTACTCTGTTATAAATGTTTTCTTCTCCTCTAGCAATTTCCTCAAAATTATTTTCCCCCTTTCCAAGGTACTTCAAATTTTACGACAGAAGCCGCCATCAATTCTAGATCTTGGGACATTAAATTTTGACGAAAAACAAAGAAAAAGAATTCTCATGTTATCTCTGTTGCCCCCATTCAGATCACCCAAAACAAGCTCGAACTAAACCTCCAAGAATCTGCATTTCTTTTCCACTTCTCTTCTAAACTTTCAATTCTGAAGAAGAATTTATCATGAAAAAACTAAGATTTCGCAAATCACTTGTCTGTCCAGGCTAAATCCTCATTCCTCTCCATCTCTCTACCAGAAACCCAAAATCGGACTCATTAATTCTCGGTCCATCACCATGATCACCACCCAGCCGCCTCCTCGATCCCACTCTATGAAAGCAAGCACTCATCTTACCCCTCATAGAGTCAAAGCCCGAGTCGGCAACTTTCCACCAGACTCCGACGGATCACTACTCTCTACCCCGATCCCTCCGCACATCCACCATTTCTATTCCCATCCCTCGCTAACCAAAGCAGAAGTTTCGGGACTAATAAACGGCAGTAGAACCGAATGAAGCACCGCAAAACAAATCGATGGAAGTGTGAGTAAGATGGACGGATCCAGAGCCAGAGAGAAAGAGGGAGACCTTGAAGGAGTGGCAAGGGTTGCCGTCGGGGTCGAGGGGTTGATCGCAGACGGCGAGGTCGCGAGCGCAGAAGTGGCGCCAGAGTGCGTCATCGGAGGCGACGGAGCGGAGCGTAGTGCTGACGCAGGCTGCGGCGGCAGCGTCGCTGAAAGCGACCTTGGAAAGGATGGTCTCCAGCACCGGTACCCCCAATCCCTCCAACACTGCCGCCATTCCCTGCTCTTCTTTGGGAACTGAAATGATTCCTCTATTTCGCGATTGAGTCGGTATATGTGTGGAACAAAATGATTTATTTACTCCTCCATCTCTACGAGCCTGTTTACCTTAAATTTTATTGATCAAACTGTGGTTCTAAAGTGGGGCCCACATCGCTCCGTTAACATTTCAAGAATAATCCGGGTACCTGAGGCGGAGTAGAAAACGTCTCTCGATGCGTGGGGAGGAAGAGATCGTACGTGGCAGGATACGAGATGTCGATCCGAGTCAAAGTCAGAGTCCAAATTCGAATGCGATCCGCTAATTGTTAGGGCACAGTGATCCGGACTCGGTTGCAAAGTTAACGGGTATTTGGATCCTGGTAAAGATCTGAGAAGGGAGCAAATTAGCGGGTTGATCGGAAGTGATGCGATTGTATTTAAATGACTTGTTAAGGTTTTTGAATAAAAAGACTTATCTTGATGAAATTTGTGAACATCATCAATATTACCTAACATAATACCTAAAATACTAATCTTGTGATGGTATACCTATCCTAATTATCAAAGATTGATGATTCAAAATCTCATTTAATGTATTTTATACCTAAAATATTAATCTGAGAATGATATATTTTAAATCTCATCCAAGGCTAGTAGACTTTCATCAAATCACCCTAAGATCCTTGATCAAAATTCACTAAAAAAAAAACACACATAACATATCAGAATAGTATTTCAAAATTTGAGGTTTAAAATCTTATCTGATATTTTAATCTAAAACATAAGTCTGATGATAATATATTTAACCAAACTTAGTTCAAAATTTCATCCAACATAAGTAGTATAAAGACTTCATCAGCTCAATGCAAAATCATAAATATCTTTGAAGAAAAAACCAACAAACATATCAGATTATCATTTCAAAATTTATTCTGGACAGCGACAGCAGTGATTGAAAAAACTGAATAAGTCATGTATTTATGCAATAAAAGTAGAAAGACTAATTGAGTGTAAAGCTCGAAGAGTATTTTCCGAGTACAGAATTGGCAGCACCATATAGCGCTGTTTAAATAGATATAGATATCACAAGAAACAAGGAAATTTCGAAGACTTCAGCTTTATCTTCCTTGAACCAAGGTAACTGAGAATAAGCTTCAATGGCTTGGAAACAATAATAACAAAGAACAGGGCATTCACATGGAATCTTTCATATTGTTATAGGAGTCATAGAACATAACTCTGCATTATTAAGTACTAACAATCTTCCAAAAGCATGTCACCAGGCCATAATCTCACGGCTGCCAAGTCTTTACAACATTCTAATGAGTTATACCTTTCCAACATTAATGACAACTGCACAGGACTAGGAGCCAGCAGAGGATGTTGTTTCAGCCTCCTTTTTGTTCTTGGCTTGTTCGAACTTGTCGATAGCAACCTGCAGCTCATCTGTGCCCCCAACCGCTCTCATGGTGTAGTAGTAAACCCCAAGAACAAAGCCTGACAACCCACCTGCAACAATCAGGTTCTTGGTCTTTGGTGCAAGGCTGCCGAATCTGGTCATTAGGGAATGCAGCTGCAAAGAATGCAAGACCAAGAAAAGAACACAATGAAGCATTAATGTTTCATAATCAACAATACAGGTATCTATATTATAGGATCATTAGAGTGTTGAGGTGAGAAATAGAGAAGTTTGTTCTCCAAACATACTAATGTCTTGCATTTTTCTCGAGCAAGGTTTTGTCATGTATGGTTAGTTCTATTTTCTCCGTTCCCATCATTTTGCTTCCTAGAAGCAATAGTTATTTGTGTAATCGAATAATTTCTAAAGAGACAAAAAAAAAGGAAAGGAAAGAACTATTGCCGTCTTGTTTCCTATCTCCGTCACTATTGTTGCTTTTACCTTGATGTGACTGGAGAGACAAGCGAACGGAGTATGCAGAAGAGGGAAGAAACAAGAGACAGTCCACCACATGAACACAAACTCCCACTATGCCTTCCTCTACTCAGGCAGGTCCTCCACCCTTCTCTCTTCCCATGTGAGGCTATTTTCTCATGCAAAAAATTGCCCCATCATCAACATGGGTCTCACCATATCACAGTGCCTCTCCTCCATTGAGTCTCTCCAGTCCATGCTTGGAATCTGATTTTTTCCCTCTCTAGTGTAGTATAAAAACAGCGGGAAAAAAAAAGTCAAAACAGCAAAAAAAAAAAATGAAAACAAAAAAGTCAAGGTATATATATCTCTTCTTCTCACAAGGACCCAAGTACCAAGGATTTTAATTTCCCCTAGACCTATACAAAGTGGACATATCGATCGGTACCACCTATTCCTCTCCTTCCTTCCTCTTCCTCTTCTTTCTTCCTCCAATGTCTCCAATTCTTCCTTCTTCTTCCTTTGTTACCTCCTCTTCTTCCTTCTTTTTCCTGCTCTCTTTCACTATCCTCCTCTTTCTTCACTTGTCCCCTTCTTCCTTTCCATTCCATCCTCCCTCCTCCTGTTCATTCCTCTTCTCCATGTTCTTTTTCCTCTTTGAGTCTTCACTATCATGCATCAGTACATCGGTATTGGTTGGTACATATGCGTTCGGCTAAGGATTGGTACACATGGTCGATACTAGACGACAATTCATGCTGTAGATATCACCCAACTCAATCTCACATCTCTCCACAATAACAACATAAAAAAGAAAGGAACGCCAAAAGAAAAAACAAATAAAACATCCTATCACATGCCACCTTTTGTAACAATGTTGATATGGTGCAGGCAGTATTTACATACAAGGAGCAAACAAGTGCAGCCTGCACCAGGCTGATATGTCCCGACCAAAGTGTAATTTTACCTAAAGGGTGAGACTACCCGGATAGTCAGTGGTTAGCTGTTAGAAAGGTTATGGGGGCTATTAAAAGCCCCAAAGGCCCAAACATCTGCCTTCACTCTCTCTCTCTCTCTCTCACTCCCTCACTTTCTTTTTCTCTCTAATCTTTCTAAGAATTCACTTAATTCCCTCTTAACCCCCTTCGATCGATTTATTTAATTTCCAGTCCTACAAGGATTATTCTGAACCAATGCTCAATCAGATCTCTGCAGCAGAGAACTTATGTTATCCTTTACTAGGTACCAGGTGGTGCAAATATTTATGATTTGTCAACATACTGTATCCGGTGGCACAAATATCTGTGATTTTTTTTCCTTTATTATGTGTCCACAGATTCCTTTTTATTGTCACAAAAGAAAGCAATGCTTTCCTTTTCTGGATCTCAATTACCATGCTAGAATAAAAACTCCAATCACTTGCACAGAAATGTTGAGTCTTTCAGATCCAAATATAAGAGCATCAACCAAATGCTAGCTTATACCACACCTTCTTGACTGCCTTAAATCACCCTTCCACAAACAGACACTTAGATATGCATTGGTTCATATTGACAGTATCAAGTTGATGTTGCCCAGATATGTCTTAGTTTATACTTAATATTGGAATTGTCCTCTGAGGAAAACTGAAGAAATTTCACCAAAATAAAATATTTTTTTGTCCACTTCTCTTTACATCACCTCTGTGAAAAGTACCTAACAATTATCAAACATATACTGACACAAACTTCACTTGACGATCAAATTTCCAACTCGATTCAGGAAGATACAGGTTATAGTAGACGAACCAACAACCACCACAAAAACCTAAAAGAGTTATGGTAAGACATTTGAAGATTCTATAGTAAAGTGGCATACAAAAGAGGGTGCCAAAATTGATAACCTTCTTCATTATCAATAATTATATTCAGTAAGTCCATTTCACAAATCATAGACAACCAAAATAAGCCATTGATTTCCATGTCTCTATAAGCACCCTCCAAAATGGGCTAGAAGCTGAAACACCAGAGCTCCTAGAATCAACAGGCAGATGCAATAATCTAAACCACCACAAGCGTCTCGAGCCAACTAAAATCCCCCACTCCGCTCCCTGTCTAAAGGGAAAATCGAAACTACTCGAAAGCCAACCAAAAAAGCTGGCAAGAAGAGAATAACATTACCGATCAGACTAATATCTGTGAGGATCAAGATTAGGTTAGCATCACTAAACAAGAAAAAAAAAACCCTAGAATCATGAAGAAAATAGAAACCTAATTCTAAGAATCCCCAGAGAATTGAAGGAAAATTTTTGGGCATATTGACGAAAGAGGGAAGAAAACAGGAGAGAAGAGGCAAGCTTGAAAAAGAAGAGATCGAGCCACTGATGATAAACGTATCGATATTGGGAAATGAAATCAACAGGCGATTAAATCACCTCAAACTCCTACGCCACTCGTTGCCTAGAAGAAACATCAAAACTACTTTTTGTTGGTAAGGAGAGAATAACATTATACATCAAAACAACAGCAGTGAAGATCAAGAAAACCTCACAAGGTGAAAAGAAAGACATCGTGGAAAACTGAAACCCTAATTCTAGCAACCAACAAAGGGATTGACGGAAAACTTTAGGCCGATTGAGGATCAGAAGCATCGGTTCTGTGCCACACAAAGACGAAAAGGAGAAAATAGGAGAGAAGAGGCAAACCTGCAGAAGAAGAGATCAGATTACTATGCGTCTCGAGAATGTTTATTGTGCGGAGAACGGCGACATCACAGTGAACTCGTTGACAAAGATCTCGAACGCAGGGCCGTAAAATCCGACCGACACCAAATCAAGTTTCGAGAAATCGGTTTCGGATTACCTCATCACAAGATTGGTATTGAGATAAGATGATTTAGCGAAGGAATAGAAAATTAAGCCCTAGTGTTTGGTAATATGTATTGAAAGCTTACGAACGAAAGAGGATTCCACAAATTTACTTGGAGCTTTTATATGTGAAACACATAACCATCTATATTTACTGGGTGGCTATTGTCATAGTGAACAGCTTCGTTGAAATATCGAGTGTTTAATGTGTGAAGATTTAATGTGTGAAGAGTCTGTTCGAATCGTCAAGCATTAATGTTAGGTTTGTGTGTTGATCATGCATCTTAGATTAGGTATACGACTCGACGTTGAGTTGACATTAGTGTTCTAAGGCGTGATGTTTTTACGATATGATTTAGTGATGTAAAACAACCATCCTCTGATCGAAACTCGATCGCATCGTAGGGTTAAGATGCTTTGTGACCAAATTCGATTGTTAATTTGATCGCGTCTGTAGAATACGATACTTCATGTCTCAAAGTTCAATTATATTATTAGAAAATAATATTTTATAGTCTAATTCAATCGTCTTCTTGAAGTATTCTTATAGTACGATACTTTATGATTCAATTTGGTCATATCATTGGTTTTATTGTTTTCCTCGATGATTATAATAAATTTTGCTAGAAATGATTTACCCTAATTAAATACCAAATCTAATTAATTTGATTTTTGACTATTTGGTAGCTTTTTCGTATGCTCAATCTTGAATGTTGAATCATGTTTTGTCATATGGTTTGTTTACTTAAATTAGTAGGAAGATAACAAGATATGGTGTGAAGGTCAAGTAAGTAGTGTTTGCCTCGAGAAGCGGCCTTGGCTAATTGTTACTTTATATGCTAGTAAATAATTTGAACTCTTGCTTTCCATCTATATTTTTTAGACTCTTCAAGTTCTAATATGCCTTTCTCGCTCTCGTCGAGGTCGAAATCACCGCTCGAGGAGCTCACTACTTCAATCATTCGATGGTCGATCCCCGTGCTCTCGCTCACTCTCAATCAGCCGCAATTTATCAATGATATTGATGCCTCACTTATCTCCTTTTTCTCATTTAAATTCATATTTTTCTGTCTTACCTGTCTCCTTTTCCTCCGTCAATATCGAATGCAGATGCAAAACAATGTAAGAGGAGGTAGAGTAATGCGATGCCGACATAGATGCCTCACCTCTTGGCTCTTCTTCTCCCAATATCGATACAGATGCTTCATCGTTTTGCCTCCTCTTCCTTCTCATCGTCGATGTTTGGATCGATATTGAAAAGTTACCCATCGTATTGTTGTCACCGACCACCATCACAAAAGTCACCCACGATATTATCGTCCATCACCACTATTAAAATTATCTTTTTATCAATCATTTTCATGTTATTCATGTATTTGTTATCACGTGCTATAATTTTCATCAATAAAATCAATTATATCAAGATAAATGAGGTTAAATACTTTACTTTCATAACCATAAAGATTTCAATATGAGATTTTTTAAGTTTAAAGATAGAAATATTAATTATATGAGATAATATGTAATTAATCCCTTGAGTTTCAATATGCTTTCCTCTCACTCTCTTCGGAGTAGAAATCCTCTCTTGAGGATGTCATAGCTCGATCCTCATGCCTCATCTATCTCAATCAGCCATAGTTCATCTTCTTTGGATGAGGTTGAGGTTGTCATGACAAGAAATACTGCTCCTTCGAGGGGCAATTTCCTCGAAGCATCATAGAGTAGAGAATTCAACTCAAATATTTGAGCGAACTAAGAGCTTATTTCTTCGTTCTAATTGAGTACAAGCTTATAGTTACTTAAAGCTAGTGAGTTCAATCCAAGATGGATGTAAGCTCCACAAAGCATTAAACTAACTAACTAAAGCCTTGTTAAATTTTATTACCATCATAATCCCTAGTTTTAGCCCCAAACATCAAATATATATATATATATATATATATATATATATATATATATTATAGTTTTGAGAAATTTTTGTAAAACACTCATTCTTTCATTAAAAAACTATTTTACTTCTACCACCATCACATCGGCCATCACCTCCCCTCCCGTCTTCAACGACATGGCTAGTCTTATCCCTAGCATGATGACATCATGAGGACGTTGTGACTTCCTTTCCTAATCATCGTGTCTATAATGATCAAAGAGGACAAAGGAGAACTGATGAGAACTGCCTCAACTCTTGGCTGCCTAAGTCTCTATGCGTAAGTCCTCTCACCCGCCACTCACCCTTAGCCACCTCTACCTCATACCCTCGCCCTTGCCTCCTTACACCATCGCCTTAGTCTCTTCTCCCCTCTTCCTTTATCATCATCACTATCTTTGTTTGCACACCTCACCCTTGTTGTCTTCACCTATGCCCCCCTTGCTAAAAACAATAGAGATGACAAGTAAAAGGTAGCGAGCCTATGTAAAAAGAATGTCTATGATAAAGGCAAAGACGATTAGGGGTAGGGGAGCCACGTAGAGAGGTGTAGGCCTAAAATTATGTTTTATAGGAGATGAGATGGTAGAATTTTTTAAAATAGAGAATATATATATATATATATATATATATATATATAGTAGTA